CTACCATCAGGCTTCAAGTCGCGAATAGATCTGACGCCGAACTCCTCCACCTGTATGAGTAAAACGGCTTACTAGAGAATGCGATATGCAAAGTAAAATTTTACCTCAAGACTAAAGCTTAAGTCTAAACCGAGGTCGTCGATTGGATTGTTGAGCAAAAATTCAAGGGAATTATAGAAGGCAGGGTCCTACAATTTAGAAAATCAAAAGAAGAAACTTGCGACGTACCAGATAAAAATCAACCAAATCACAAAAAGAAAAGTTCCAACCTCACTCTCAATATCCTGATATCGCACTGGCAAATTAAGAATGTGTTTATAGAAAGCTCGGGTGAAGTAACAGTCTAGCAACTTGTTGTCATAGATCGCCTTGGCAATCAATCGACCGACAAACTGAAAAAGAGCTCGCATGTAAGAGAGGTAACGTCGCAGTACAAATCAGACATACCTTGAAATAGTCTAGATGTTCGGGATTGATGTATGATGCCTTGTTTATCATATAAGTGACCATATCACCAGGGGCAGTGATGAACAATGCGTAGTTAGGATTGAAAATTTCTCGGGTGATAACGGAAAACCATTCTCGTAGGAGTCCACCAGCATCTTGCCCTTCCTCACCTAAACCATATGCTGATTATTCATGGATTTCTGCGCACAGTCAGTTACGCAATCCCCAAATGGAAAAGCTGCAAAATCAGATACGTCCTTTGATGAAATTGAGATAGTGTGAATCGACATGTCAGTAAAACAATAATATTATTGGACCTTGGAAAATGATGTAAAAACGATGCTTCCATTCGTTTGGACGAAGTCTGTAAAGTTCGCGAAACGAGTCCGAGAAAATTTGCGACCTTCTGACCTGCACTTGGACATCAGCCCGACGAAAACTGAAAGAGTAGTTCAATGACGTTTTTACAATAAATCCAATACTAAGCCTCAAACACCCTGATTTTACTTTAACGATTGGTTATGAACTCGTAAATTGACAAAAGCAGGAGAAATGTGTTTTTGAAGGGAGAGACAGACCGTTTAAGACAAAAGTGATCTTAAATCTTGATACTAGCATCACTTTCCAATCAACAGCGATCATTTCTGTACACTTACAGCGTCATCGGCTCGCAATACCAAATCTAACTAGCAAAAAAAAATATCAATAACTACACACCCTCTATCTCCATCCATCTTTCCAAGTTCTTTCCGGAAATACTTCCTCTTCACATCAAAATCTAGCAATTTAGGGAACTGAATCAATGCTGCAAATGGTCCACCCGGAGATAAAGCGGTATTGTT